AGAGAAATTAAAACAGGGCAAGGATTCTAACCCATGTCCAAATTCAAAGCCCAGGGTTTGGGCCTTTGAACCATCTGTCTCGACATAGAATAAATGGTGATAAGCAAATACATAGTCATTTAACTAGTCAACAATTTCAAAGCCTTTACGCAGAACTATAAAAGTGCGAGAACACGGAGAACCTAAGTTATGCCTCTTCGGGAACCTATGCTCTCCAATATCCGCCATGTGTCAGTCCTGACATCCATCGTGATCCCTGACTGCTCACTGTCTAGCTTTCCGGATACAAGCACCTCCTCAAAGTTCTATCCACTGAAGACTACAGAAAAACTTTAATAGCACTTGGCCAATACTGTCTCATATGTACTACTTTACCTTACAGACAAAAGTTAAGTTTTTCAACGGTGAGATGTCTTCCTTTTTACATTAGATTTTTCAGGATTCCAAGTTTTGCCGGGAGGTGGTAGTGCACGCTTTTAATCCCTGCACTCGGGAGGCAGAGGCAGGTGAGTTTGATGCTAGCCTAGTATATAAGAGCTAGTTCCAGGACAGGCACCAAAGCTACACACAGAAACCTTGTCTCGAAAAACAAAACCAAATTCCAAGTTCCAATATTTAGTTTACTGCTAAGCAGACACTCTAACATCTGTCTTCCTCTTGATGTACTAAGGCCATCTTAGTAACATCCTCAAAGGAGTCAGTTTCCACTGAATCTCAGTTATAGTCTTGCCTTAGCAATAAAGAAATCTACACTTACAATTTCCTCCATTTGCCGCAAAAACATGAATACGTAAACACACAAAGAATATGAAATTCAGGGAGTTTCAAAATATCTCTGCTACCCACAGAAAGTATTTCTGTATGTATTTCTCATGTACCAAAGGACTCTCATTTACCCAGAAAATGAAACAAAACGCACTCAACTTTTTAATCTCTCATGTACAGTACAAAATTCAATGAAAAAAAAATGTATTAAGTCTCACCTGCTAAGCCATTTTTTAGCATGGAACTTTATTATTATCAACAATTTTAGAGTAATCTACGTGTGTACGTGTGTTTAGAAATCTTCCTATGAATATAAAGAATACACCTGCCATACAAACTATCTGGAAGCTTATAAATGTCATCAAAATCAGACTTTTTTAAAAAATGCTATCTGAACGCGAACCACCCACCAATCTACAGTTATCATCTGTGTCCAGAAACAGAATTCATCAACTTTGCTGGACACCGGGAGCGGGCGAGCATGGCCGTGGACGCCCCCAGGATCCCACACCACGCAGGAAGCAGTGGCCTCGGCGTCGCCGGACCCCGCTCTGTCACCTCGGACTCCCGAAACCCCACAGCCCCGTGCACCCCAACAGCGCGCCCCTTCGCGGGGCGCTGCCATCCCGGGGCCCAGCCGGTGTCAGGGAGGCCCGAGCCGGCTTCCGGCTCGCACGTGTGCCGGCCGGTCGCCGCCTCCCCGCCTCTCCCGCAGCCCCTCTCGTCCCCACAGCTTCTTCCGCCTCCAAGCTCCCTCACCTCCTTCACGGAGAGGAACTCGAGGAGCGGAAAGACCAGATGCCGATCCAGAAAGTGCGCGATGCGCGTCGTCAAGTCGTACTCCGCCATCTTGCCGGGGGAAAGGAGAGCGTGTCCGCGAAAACTTTATTAAAACAGCACCCAAAGGCGGACAAACTCCGCACTGCGCATGTGCGCTCGCGGCTCCGCCAAAGCGGGCGGACGAGGGTCGCGCCTGCGCGTTGTGGGCCCTTCTTCCTTCCCTGTCTTCCACCCTCCCTTCCTCTCCACGCCTCCTGGGAGGGGCTCAAGCCATTAGCCGACTCTCTGCTCTTTCCAAATTCTGCACTGTTCCCTTCTTGTTGCACCAATGAATAAATGCTAGTTCTACGGAGGAAGGGAACCAAGAGTTCAGTTTTAGATTTGGTGTAGTTTGGACTGCTTACTTGACGTCTAAGCGGAGGGAATGATTGTTAGTTAGGTCACGCTACAGATTGAAACTCGAACAAAGGCAAAGATCAGACCTAGAGATATAATAACTCTTGCTAACTTACTGATAGGATTGAAAACCACGAAACTGCATAAAGCTAGGCTGTCAGCGTGTTTGAAAGAGAGGCGAGGGATGGTAAATCTAGGTACCTCACCTTACTGAAGTGGGGCGATTCAGACCTTAGCACCGGGTAATAAATGCAGTCATGGAGGTCAACTTGGCTGCAGCTGGAATTTACTAAGCCCGAGGGATATCACTTGAGGTCAGAAGATCCTCCTTTAATTTGGGCCACACCTATGGTGGCAATAAGGAAAATAGAAGCTTTTGCTCTTTGCCGGCTTGCCGTCACCCTCCCTGGCAAGTTCATTTCTCCACTGCTCTTAGAGTCCACTTCTGGATTCCGGCATGTACTGAAGACCATCTGAGTCACCTGGCCTCGTGAACTGAACAACTAGAAGGTTCTTGGACTTTCTATTGGGAGACAGTCATTGTGGGCATAGACCATAACCTGTGAGCCGCTCTAATAAATCCTGTACACACACACACACACACACACACACACACACACACACACACACACACACACACTCCTATTCTGCCAGTTCTGTCTTTCTAGAGAACCCCAACTAATACAATACAGATGCAGGAGCGAAGAGACAGTATTGTCCTAAGAGCCAAAGGAGGGGAGGAATCCTAGAAGCCGTTAATTAAATGTAAAAGCTCTGATACTTCGTGGTGCCAAAGGAGGGGAGGAATCCTAGAAGCCGTTAATTAAATGTAAAAGCTCTGATACTTCGTGGTGATAAAGCCTATTGTTTACATTTAAATTATTTACAACAATTTATTTTATTTATATAGATTATTCACAAGAATTTTCTGCCATGATTATTTGATTGTGGTTCCTTTCTCCTACTGATGACCTTAACATGGGAGCTGTTAATAGATTTTTGGATGAAAAATCTATTCATGGTGAACTTAAAAGATAAAAGGAGGAAGATTGCAGCAACATATTTTGAGGACCTCAACTAGAAAAATGAGTAGGAGGTGCGATACAGGGAGTGTGCGTTAAACAATATGGTTTGGATGCTAATAGTACTCAGTACAATACTGATGCAGATAACTAAGAGAGGAAGAGAGTGCTGTGAGAAACTGACTGGAATATGAGCAGAGCACAGACTATCAATCAGGCTGATGCCCAGTACAAATCACCAATGAAATACAACAGGTGGAGAAAGCTCGGCTGATTGGGGATGCTGGATTTTTTTTTTTTTTCAAGACAACAGTCCTAGCTGTCCTGGAACTTGCTCTTGTAGACCAGGCTGGCCTGGAACTCACAGGGGTTCACCTGCCTCTGCCCTTCCTGAGTGCTGGGATTAAAGGCGTGTGCCACCACTGACCGGCCAGGATGCTAGATCTTACGGCAGACACTCAGAACTAGAAGAGAGAAATGCACGTGGTTCAGGAACAGTTTAAACACCAGAGAAACACACAGGCAGGAAAATTAAAGAAAGATCTGAGAACAAGAGCTTGGGAACTTAGCTAAAGACTAGTATCTACAGGAGAGGATGTGACAGAAAAAAAAAAGGTGAGTGTCAAATATTAACAGTTGTGAATAATTTGAAATTTATCTTAATTCTGTGGAGTCTTAAAGTATTTTTGAATATGAAAGAGAATAGTACTATACTTCAGGAAGGTTAATTCTGACAGCTGTGTGGCTAGTGGGTTGGATGAGTGATGTGTGGGCAGGCTGTGGGGGCCTTCAAAGTTAGATGGGAAAATTTTTACTTGACCAGATAGACCATGAGAGCCTCTTATTGAATTCTTAAATTGAAAAGACATGAAGAAAGTGATATTTTTCCCCCTAAAATTAAGCTGGAGTTGATTTATAAACTGGATTAAAGTGGAGACTGTTGATTGATTGGACTGGATTTTCCCCTGGAAATTTCCTAGCTGAATAATCTTTTTCCTTTCTTTTTTTCTTTTGGTATTTGGAAGGTTTATATTTTTAAATATATTTAAATATGGAAAACCTAACTTTACTGATGTAGTCACTTCCTGATGTTTTCATAAAAAGAAATATTACAGAGAATTCATCTGAAGCACTCTGGTAGTGTCAGGGGTAAAGTGTGATTCTTACGAATCCATAACATGTGTACTGGATGTTCTCCATTGAATGATCACCATAGTGAACTCTTGAGAAACAAAGAACGAAAATAATTCTAGCCCACAAGAAATAGTCACAAAGGGGTAGCAATTATGCAAAGCATAAACCTATCATATTGTGATGTGAAGATGCCCTTGTACACAGTGTTCTTGGGGCTTGGCAGAGTTGAAGCAAGAATTCCCAGTAGCTTACTTTTGCCACAAAGAAAGCAAACTCCATGTAGAGTTTCTTTGATGCCCATCATCTTCTCTGATACAGATTGGTAGTGCCAGGAGCAGGTATGGCTCATTGCCATAAAAAACAATCTATGTTGTTAAAACATCTTAAATGCCATATTCTGCAGTTCTCTGAAGTGTTTGAAATATCTAAAATATATCTCTGTTTGACCATGAAAACATACCTCATATTTACTACAAGTTTGATTAGAATAGGTGACTAGTTACTGCATTTCCTTAGTATCTTAAATAGTTGGTAATAAAAACTAGAAATTTGCATTACATTGTTAATGAGCTGTATAGGTACAATACCTTGAACAATATTGGAAATATATGTAAAATATGTTCTAACAAAAATAGCCTTGAATTTGTACAACAGCAAATATACATTTCAATGTAAAATATTTAGAACTTGCAGTTGCTTTTGATTTAAAAGTAGATCCAATAATGTACCCATTATCCTATCATATCTCTATCCCCTTTTCTTTTTCAAAGCAAGAACTCTAAATCTAATCTCCTTGGTTCAGCATTTTTAGTGACCATTACCAATAACAACTTGTAACTAATACCCCTAAACAATGATAAATATCCATAACACCTCCCCTCAAGAAAGCCAAAAACCACTCACCCCAACTCTTGGAAGTGTGGGCATAGTGTTCTTAAATTTACTTCAAGCTGTCTGGGGGTGACTGCATCTTTAGGGGATCCTAAAAAGAAAAATTTGGGTTCTGTTAGCCACCTTGAAATTTTCCTGAGCTGTTTGTAGTCCAAAGCCAATCTTTAGGTGATGTTTGTCAGCTTAGTGGTGCTTCATAGTCCTGGTGGAATCAATCATTGTGGGGCCCTATCATCCTTTTGGAGACTTCAAAGGTCACTGTTAGGCATGGTCTTGATTCACTGCAGAAAACTTAAATATTTTAAATGTCATATGTGGCAGATTTCAAAGAAGTTAAAGGATCAATATTTGTTATGTACATCCAGAGTACAAAAACATAATTCCTAGTTACCTGATAGAGCTTCAGATCTGAAATCATGTATGGGAAGCTAGATAAAGCCTTTTTCTAGAATTAGTTAGTATGTTATATGATCATTAATAGTATGAAAAAAAGCTTAGTAATATATATACGTTATAAATTTTGAGATATTTATACTTTAAGAAAAGCTTTAAAGAGTAAAAATCAAACCAAAGGATTATGAGATTAGTGGCAATACAATAGTCTCTTAATTTTTTTCTTCTGTCCCAGATCAGGTAGATCTTGTGATGTGAGACAAGATTTTACTTCAACAAACACGCTTGGGGTTAGAGAAGGGGAGAGTCACACTGCATCTCCAAAGCCAGCTTTAATTTTCAGTTGAACTGTGACTACAAAAATACCATTTGCATTATATGTCCACACAAAAAGCAGAGATTAGAGCACAGATATATTCAGAGGAAAGACATTTACATATAAGCAAAGGAGAAAGATTCATAAGAAAGAATCTATAATACCTTGATGTTGGACATTTAGCCTTCAGGATTGTAGACAGAAGAAATGCCTATTGTGTAAACCAAGCCAGGCAATCTGTGATGATTTGTTATGGCAGCCCAAACAAACTAACGTATCACATTATTCCCTGGTTTTGTGTACATTTTAGAATCCTCAGTACACTGTGTGAAGACATTCTCTATCCAGAATCATATACCCCTTCCACAATCATTTCTGCTCAAGCTTTGAATATCATTGGCTTTTTTTTTTCAGTAAAACTTTCTAGACTAAAATACTCTTCTCTCTCTTTTCACCCTGTTAATGTAATTTTTCGAAGGCTTAGTTGAAACATTGCTTCCCCAGCTCTATGTTTCTGCATATGCAAAACAGACCTGAAAAATGCCTGCTACCATTCTCTCTTAAAAACAAGGTTTTATTGCGGAGCTTGTAATGGCGTAGCTTGTACCTACGCCTTGTTTGCTGCTATTAGACTGCACGATAGCTAGCTTATTATTTTTCCAACTTTACACAAGCCAGGTTCATTTGGGAAGAAGGAGCCTCAACTGAGAAAACGCCTCCATTTTCCAGACTGGATTGTAGGCAAGTCTCTGTGTGTTGTTTTCTTGGTTGACAATTGGTATGAGAGGACTCAGGCTACTGTGGGATACGTCACTCACTGTTCTGTTGATCCTGGGTTGTGTAAGAAAGCAGGCTGGACCAGAAGCAATGAGGAGCAACCCAAATAAACAACATTCTCCAAGGCCTCTAATTCAATGTCTGCCTTTGAGTTCTATCCTGACTTCTTTTCCTGGCAGAGTGTCAGTTATAAAGATGAAGAGAGTCCTTTGCTCCTGCACTTGCTTTTGCCATGATGTTCGTCACAGTAACAGCAAGCAAACTAAGACAAATATTGACAACAGAGAGTGGGCTATTGCCTTGATAGACCTGACCATGTTGTTATTGGAGAATTGTGAAGGATTTTGGAACCTGGGGCTGAAAAAACCCTGCATGTCCAGAGCTTATTGAGCTCTTGTGGGAACATTAAAGACAATACCAAGAGTGATAGGGAATGGTGAAGGCCTGGCTTGTGCAGTTTCAGAGGGAAGTCTGAGAGTCCTTCAAAGACTCTATCAGGGTCACAAGAGACCAGCATGACTGAAGTGAAACCTTTGTTTTAGGGGGATAACTGATGCTGGTTAGCTTAATAGGGGAAATCAGTTGTGATTAAGAGACCAGCATCGTTGAGGTTGAATCTTCTGGGAGTATTTACTCAGGATTAGGGCAAGCTGCATCTTATGCTGGCAGATGAACTTCATGAAAGAATTGTACCCATGGTTCTAGTGCTGGTAGCAGGAAAACTGCAGGACCGAAGGGGTTATAGAGAGCAGTTTACTTGTTCCCTAAGTTTGGCTCTACCGAAACTGAAACTCTAAACCAGGCTGGCATCAAACTCAGAGATCCTTCTGCTACAGCCTCTGGAGTGCTGGGATTAAAACTGTGTACCACCACACCCACTGATAATCCCTTTTTACAAATTGGAAACTGAGCTGGGTAGGATCTTGCCCTGAGGTCACCATTCCCTTTATTTCATTTCTTAATCTGTTTATCTCCTTGAAAATAGGATTTAACCTCTATTTGACTTCCTGTTGCCCTTTTTCTCCCTGAATTGTACATATTGTGTTTTTACTTTCTCAACTCGCTTCATTTCATTATAAATCTTCATTAGAGTTAACACTAATAACCACACGATATAGCCAATACTAGGCTGTTTCTAGATTTCTTCTGCCAAGAGAAATAATCCAAATCTCTCCACTTCAGCCTTATGCAGACTCTTTGGACAACAGCAAAAGGCAGCTACATTCTTCACCAAAATATCACAAGAATGATCTCTAGGCAACATACTAAGATCCTTCTCTGAAACTTTTGAGCCAGGACTCCACAATGCCTATTGTATGTCCCATATGCCTACTGGTATGACCCATTAAGCAGTGCTTAAAGCATTCCAATGCTTTCCTAACCCAAAATATCAAAGTCCAAATTCCTCCAAACAAAAACAAGGTCAGGTCTCTCGCAGTAATACCCCATTTCTTGTACCAATTTCTTTCTTAGGGTTTCTATTACTGTGAAGAGAGAGCATGACCATAGCAACTCGTAAAAAGGAAAATATTTAATTGGGGTGGCTTACAGTTTCAGAGGTTCAGTCCATTATCGTCATGGTTGGACCCAGCGACATATAGGCATGCATAGTGCTGGAGAAGGAGCTGAGAGTTCTACATCTTGATCTGCAGGCAGCAGGAAATTAACTGTGTCACTGAGCATAGCTTGAACATAAGAGAACTCAAAGTCCACCCCCACAGTGACACAATTCCTGCCACAAGGCCACACTTGCTCCAAAACCCCTCCTAATCGTGCCACGACCAATGAGCGTATGAGAGACAATTACATTCAAACTCATGCTTGAGAAACATGAACACGACAACTATTTGATACTCTGATTCTGATTCCTGTCTCAGTACCTTGTGCATAACAAATAATAAATGTTTTAGAAAAGAATAAAGGTATTAACAAGCCAAGTATCCAGGACTATGTGATCTTAAAAGGTCTGTATTTGATATTCTCAAATGGATGTCTACAACAGACACAAGTTTAACAATCAGAATGTTTGTTAAGAATCAATGGCTCAGCCAGGCGGTGGTGGCACACGCCTTTAATCCCAGCACTCTGGAGGCAGAGGCAGGAGGATCTCTGTGAGTTCGAGACCAGCCTGGTCTACAAGAGCTAGTTCCAGGACAGGCTCCAAAACCACAGAGAAACCCTGTCTCGAAAAACCAAAAAAAAAAAAAAAAAAAAAAAAAAAAAAAAGAATCAATGGCTCTTTCATATATTTCTAAGGAGCAATGATGTCACCTTAATCTGATTATCCTTTTATGTACTACCTGAGGGTTCTTATTGTATTTTGGTACACCTGCCTTCTTCATTTATATTTCCATTTCATTTTGTCAATGCATTTTCGGCTCTTAATCAGTGCTAGACAGTGTGAGAGTCATAGAGCAAACCCCTCTGAAGAACTGTTTCTCTGAAAAGAATTCATAACAGGGCAGGAGGATAGATATATAAAGCACAAATTACACTGCAAGAGTATAAACAATGATATCTATGAGAAGGCATTGTTACGCATTGATCTGATTAGATTAAAAGCATACACACAGTTAATATGTGCGTCTTATTTGTTTGGTTCTTATGGCAAAGTACTCGCTGTTTCTTGTATTATCTTTGGAAGATGACTTCTTCTTGACCTCATCCTCTTGCTCCCGCGGGACCTTCCTGAACTCCCCATGTACTGATTACACCCAATGCCTGTGTGAGCATTTCCAGAAGCCTCACTCGATCCTGCTGTCATCGTTACTGAAGAATCACACGGAGAAAAGGCACCTTGGGAGAACTTTAACCCACTCTCTTCACTAATCACCTCATATAATGCTAGAATTGACAGCTAATTGCCCCCGAACTCTGTGGCCCTCGAGTAGGTAACTAGAAGGATGCAAAGTAATAGAACTGTCGCTGTTCTTCCTCATCTGTCCCCAACACTAGGACCTGGAATGTAACAACTCAGTTATTTGGGAGGAATGTAACAATTCACAGTACATTAGAGTATGTCATAGGAATCTCAGATTTGGGATGAGACTATAAGATTCCATAATCTAAATAAACCACCAACCAAATCAGAATACCTCTTTATCTGTTAAGTATTTCTATTTCTCTGTGTCTTTTATAAAATATTCCACGTCTATGTTACCTATCTTGAGCCCTTTCAGTGGCACTGACCACCGTGATAGATTAATTTATGAATGGGCAGGATCTGGTGCTACCGAAGCCAATATATTTAGTTTTACTAGGCCAGGAATGAAGTATATTTTTCTGCCTATATTCCATGTACCTATGGATATAAAGAATAGGGAGGCCTATAAACGTTTCCAAAGAAAACAGCACAGTTCCTGAGCTTTTTGTTATTACACGCAGAATAAGCTGACACCGCGAGGCTCTGTGTATGGATAGAGAAGTCTCCCTTGACGTGCCTATCCAGGAAGGTGCCTATCTCAGCTTCCTATCACAAAGCCTTGTTTATTTGGTTAGTGGATTTGGTTCAAGGTGATTGGAATGGATAATCTTTGTTGTCAACTTGGCTACGTCTAGAATCAACTAAAACGCAAGCAACTGTGCACACCTGTGAGGAATTTTCTTGATTGGATCAGTTGAGGTCAGAAGAATCACCTTAAATCTGGGTCGCACCTTCTGGTGGCAGTCTAAATAAAAGCACACAGAAGACAAAAACTTTTGCTTTTTGCCTGGTTGCCCTCACTTTTGCTGGCAAGTTTATCTATCCTGTTACTGAAGCAGCTGTCTTGGAATCCTCGGACTCCAGCATCATATTGAGCCAGATGAGATATTTAGTCTGTGGACTGAACAGCTATTGCGTCGTTGGCCTTTCTATTATGGGATACACTCATAGCTGAAGTATCTGGATCACAACCTGTGAGACACTTTAATAAGTCCACTTAGACCTGCAAATACAAATTTTATTAGTTCTGTTCCTTTAGAGAACCCTGGGCAATATAGTAATTCTGCAAAGACAGGCCTTGTTCACTACTATGCAACGCTTATTTGTTACAATAGCTATCTGTTGAGTTAATTAGTAAGTGATTTAGTCTGAATAAGCATATTTGTGTTCTTCTGAAGATCCCTTAGATGACATAAAGACTAGTGACATTCTTAGAGTCAGTGGCTAGAAAAGAATGAGAACTATGGGAGGAAAAGGCAAAGCCAGCAAACGCCTTGAATCCTGGTACTTGTTCTCTGACAGGGAGACCTGTCCTTTCCCAGTCTTCAGTGTCGATGGAGATGCACTGCCTGGCAGGCAAGGGTGGGAATGAGGTCGGAGTGTTCTGGTCTGGATGACTTCCTTGAGTGCGGGAGGCGGAGGATAGAGGAGTTGTCAGGGAGAAGTAAATCTCTCTGTTTCACAGACGTATACTGCACCTCAAGTGTCAAGTCAGGCCAAACAGAACGTGTTTTAGGGAAGATTAGGAGGCAGCAATAGGCACATAGCAGGACTCATAGCCTGCCGCTGTGGGAATGATCTGTGCACTGGCGTGATTAACTGCTCTCATCTCTTCTTTTGGTCTTCAAAACAATCTCAGTATATTTTCAAATGACCACTCCCTGATTTTCTTTGGCATAGTCAGCTGTGCTTATCTGCTGCCGTGTTCTGGAAATGTATTCTTTCTCTGGGGTGAGTTCTTTCACCTTGAAGCTGTGTTTTTCTGGTTTGAGTCATCTTCCACACCAGGAAACATGTTACACTTTTAGGCTTGTTTCTATAGCTCAGGTCACACTGTTTGTTTGCTCATTTTTGTGGGTACACATATATTGCTTGTTTCCTTTGTAGAGATTTTAGCTTTCTCCTTTTCCTTTTCCTTTTCCTTCAATAATTTTGAGTGGAATTTCCCCCTTCATACTCTCCTGGTGCTTATTTCTATGGGAAATCAGTTTGTCTTGATTTTCTCCAGTGATGCAAAGCATGGGATTTCTAAAGCGTCCATCTTCACAGGACTAGTCATAGACAGTGCCTTCCAGACACGTTCATTTAAGAGTAGTCCCAAATATTTGTCAAGTGCACATATTTTTGTATTTTGTGTCTCCAGTGCTACCTCTTGCTTAACAGCCTGCTTCTTTGCTAACCAGGTCTGCTGTGTTCTGCTTTACCCACCTGCTCCACTCCTACTATAGATCAAATATTACTCCATCACATGCTAACTCATGGACCAAACTCTAACCCACCTGGCAAAGCTTGGAAGATACTCACTCAGTGAATGGAACATTTCTCTTCTGGTCTGACTTTTTGGCCTTCAAACTCAGGGTGTTAATTGTACCTGTGTGTGTCAGGAAGGTATCGATCATGCTTCCAAGGCTTAGTGCTTTTAATCTGCTTGGTATTCCATTCCTCTTTTCCTTCTTCTGGCTAACTCTAGAAATTCCCAGAATTAAGGGCCCATCTCTAAGACTCCCATAACATTTTGCACTTGATTTTTATCTTGATATTTGTTGAGGGAGGTGTGGTGGTGGTGGTGGTGGTGGTGGTGGTGGTGGTGGTGGTGTGTGTGTGTGTGCTCCTGTGTACCTGTATGTGCACTCAGGAGTGGACTTGTAGAGGCTAGTAGCCAATGGTGAGTGTCTTCCTCTATCATTTTCTGCCTTCTATTTATTTTCAGGTACCGTCTCTCACTGATCACCATTTGTTGAGCCTGGCTGACCAGTCAGGTTTCCAGGATCTTTACACAGTCACCTCTCCAGTGCTAAGGTTGTAGGTGAGCGCCAGCACAGACGGCATTTTGACTAGGTGCCAGAGCTTTGCACCCCAGTCCTCACGTTTGCATAGCAAACATTCCACCCGCTGAGTCGTATTTTTAGTATCTGACTGCACTTTTGAAGCCTGCCTAATATGCAATTTGTGTCTTACCTGCAGCTATGGGAACATGTTTGAGGCTTATTCCTGTATCCACTTGACTCTGTATAGTACAGCTAACAAAACAACACTCTGACAGTGAAAGCTTGAGGACCCTCAGCCCAAACTGTCAGTGGTCCTTTACTGTTCTTAGCATGAAATCTGAAAGTCCTCAAGGGGACCTCAAAGGACCTGTTCGTCCTTTTACTCTTCCTTCTGCTAAACTCCAAAGACTCAACTGGCTTTTCCCCATCATGCTCTTTCCCCCATCTCTTCCACCTCAACCCTTCTTACTAGGTCAAACTCACTTGTGCGTGCGTGTGTGTGTGTGTGTGTGTGTATGTGTGTGTGTGTGCGCGCACGCGCGCATGTGCCCGTGTGCCCGTGTGTGTGTGTGTGTGTGTGCCTGTTTGTGTGCGTGTGTATCTGTGTAGGTCAGAGATATGTCAATGTAGAAGTCTGATGTCTTCCTCAATTGTTCTTCCACTGATTTTTTTCTTTTTGTCCCTATTTTCTTTTATTGAAGAAGCCATCATCATGGGATATTTTTCTAATGGTGATAAAACTCTTTCAAGGTCATTTTGCTTGTACATTATAAATGTATTACAATTTACTATAGCCTACTATAAATTTAGACGTAGGGGTTATTTCCACTTTACAAATGCAAATAACACTATGTGTGATTTTTTTTTGTCCACTTTTTGTTGACAGAAACAACTCATAAGAGGGCAGACTATTCTGGCTCACAGGTTAGTCCATAATGGACGGGGAAGGTGTGGG